GGAGGAGGAGGAGGATGAGGAGGAGGAGGAGGAGGGAGGAGGAGGAGGAGGAGGAGGAGGAGGAGGAGGACGAGGACGAGGAGAAAGATGAGGAGGAGGAGGATGACGAGGACGATGAGGAGGCGGAGGAGGAGGAGGAGGGGGAGGAGGAGGATGAGAGGAGGAGGAGGAGGAGGAGGAGGAGGAGGGGGAGGAGAGGAGGGAGGAGGGCGGAGGAGGGAGGATGAGGAGGAGGAGGCGGAGGAGGAGGAGGAGGAGGAGGAGGAGGAGGAACAATAAGAAGGATAAGACGAAGACGCATACTAATATTACTACTACGCAGAATACTAATACTCATACTAAGTTATATAATAATCATAAGAAGAGCGCGAATCCTAATACGAACAATACGACTAAGACCAAGACTACTAGCACGACTACTAATCATACTGCTACTAAGACGAATACGAACACTGCTATTCCGAAGAAAGAAAACTAATACTACGGAGGCGACGGATAATACGAATATTACGAATAACGAATAAGACGAATACTAAGACGACTAATGCGAAGACGGATAACACCAAACCGACTAATACTAAGAACAGCTTTCATTCGAACCATAATGCGAATTTTAATGCTACTAATAATAAGAATAATGCACATCATAATGCGAGTACTCATAATAACAATAATACTACCACGCATAATAATAGCACTACTATTATTCAGACGACGACGACTAAACAACATACTGGTACTAGTAATAATAAGAATACTAAGAAGACTAAGCATACTACTACTACTACTACTACTACTACTACTACTACTACTACTACTACTACTACTACTACTACTACTACTACTACTACTACTACTACTACTACTACTACTACTACTACTACTACTACTACTACTACTACTACTACTACTACTACTTACTACTACTACTACTACTACTACTACTACTACTACTACTATCACGACGGCTAATCATATACGTGATACTAATACTACTACAGCGACCAATCGAATCAACATAATAGTAAGGACTACTATACATACTATTAACAAGAGAATAATAATACGAGTAGGAGGAGGAGGAGGAGGAGGAGGAGGAGGAGGAGGAGGAGGGAGGAGGAGGAGGAGGAGGAGGAGGAGGAGGAGGAGGAGGGTGGAGGGAGGAGGGAGCAGGGAGGAGGGAGGAGAGAGAAAGGGGGGGAAGGGGGAGGGAGGAGGGAGGAGGGAGGGGGGAGGAGGGAGGCGGGAGGGGAGGAGGGGAGGAGGGGAGGTGGGAGGAGGGAGGAGGGGGAGGGAGGAGGGAGGAGGGAGGAGGGAGGGAGGAGGGAATGGCGGGTTGGTGGTGGTGATGGTGATCATGGTGATGGCATGATGGTGGCAACGGGGATTGCGGCGGGGAGTGGGCACGGCAACGGCGCCCCTCGCCCCGCGGTTTTTAATTGTTTGTTTCTGTGGCGGCCCTGTGGTCCGAAGCAGTCCGCGTCCTGGGGCCGCGGCGTCCTTGGCTTGTGGCCGAGAATCTGCGGTTTTCGGCGCGTCCAAACCTGATGCCCTCCCTGCCCTCCGCGGCCGTCGCTTCGCCGCCGCCTCCCATCCCCCCCCCGGGTCGCTCGAGTGGGCTCGTGGGCTCCGGGTGGCTTCGTGCCCCTCGGCGCCCTCCCGAGTGCTCATGTGGGAGTTCTTTAGCGGACCCAGGGCGTCCTGCCTTTCGGCCTTCCCCCCGCATGGCTGGAAAGTCGGGGAGGAGGAGGAGGGGAGGGGAGGGGGAGGGGGCGGGGAGGAGGAGGGGAGGGGAGGGGGGAGGAGGGGGAGGGAGGAGGAGGAGGAGAGGAGGAGGAGGGGAGGAGGAAGGAGGAGAGGAGGAGGAGAGGAGGAGGAGGGAGGAGGAGAAAGAGGAGGAGGAGGAGGAGCGGAGGGGGGGGGAGGGGGAGGGGGAGGGGGAGGGGGAGGAGGAGGAGGAGCAGGAGGAGGAGGAGGAGGAGGAGGAGGAGGAGGAGGAGGAGGAGGAGGAGAAGAGGAGGAGGAGGAGCAGGAGGAGGCGGAGGAGGGGAGGAGGGGAGGAGGAGGAGGAGGAGGAGGGAGGGGAGGGGGAGGGGGAGGGGGATTGGGAGGGGGAGGAGAGGAGGAGGAGGAGGAGGAGGAGGAGGAGGGAGGAGGAGGAGGAGGAGGAGGAGGGAGGAGGAGGAGGAGGAGGAGGAGGCGGTTTGACTGCGCCTGCCGGCTGCCAGCTTCAGACCTCCTCCGCGGGCTGCGGCGGGGCCCGGCCCCGCCGCCCTGCCGAGGGCTGCCGGGGCGGCTCCGCGCCCGCCTTTTGAGCCCACGTGGTTCAGGGGTCCGCCCGCGCGACCCACTTGTGTGTATACATATATATATATGTATATATGTATAGATATATGCATACATGTTTTATCTGCTAGATATGATTATATGGTTATGCATACATATATATGATGCATGTGTTACCTCGGATATTTTATAGTTGTATCCATATATGTGCTATTTAGTATATATATATATATATATTAATATATATATATATATGTATTTTATACGTAGTTTTTTGTATGTACACACCTATGTATTTTTATATGGTCACTCAACATGAAGTTCTGATGGGTTGCTGGCGGGTCGCGACGCGGGTGGGTCGCAAGTGGGTGGCTAGCATGATAAATCCAGGGTCACTCAATCCGAAGCTTTGAAGGCTCCCTGCTCACTGTGCGATGCGCTCATTGTGCTCATTCTGAGGCTCTGAAAGCTCTTAGCAGCTCAACAGGAGGAGTCCAGGGTCGCTCACTGCGCTCTGAAAGCTCAATCTGTTTAACATAGATGAGCATGCCAGCTTTTTTTGAATTACCGAATTGATTTCCGAATTGCCGAAGTGTTTCTTCTGCCGGCATATATAGGTTTTCGTACAATCGTTCTTATTATTATTGCTTACTTACTTGAATACCATATTTTATTATATCGAGTCCCTCCCCGTGTTAAAGGTTGCAAGATTTCGGGGCGGCACAATCTATGGATGGATAGCAACTGGGAACCAGTGGTGGCCCCATGTGCGCGACGCTGGGGCGAGGTTCGCCGCGCGTGCCAGGCGCTCCAGGTGCGCCAGGTAGCTCTGGGGCCCAAGCGTGCCAGACACGCCTCGCGTGCCAAATGCGCCACGTGCTCCACGTGCGCCATGTGTGCCTCATGGTCCAGCAGCGCCAGGTGCGCCACGTCCTTGGCACGCGCAGAGTGTGCCAGGTACGCCCGCGCACGTGACACCACACATCGGGAAACATGTTGGCTCCCACCATCCTTGTCGAACGCTGGTGCACAGTCGCGGCGGGGAGGCCATCATGGTGTCTTGTGAGGCTGCGCACAGCAAGCAATATGCCAGCAGCACCGCGGGGTTTGTCAAACACAAACGGATCGTGATCGCGGGGTGACAGCGCATGATCCATATTTAGCCGCAAAGTGCATGTTGTATTGTTTTTGGCAGGGATGGTGACCTTGCACAAAGCAGGGCAAGAAATATATGATCGCGGGCTCAGGGCCCACGGGCCCCCCCCCCTCCCCCAGATGGGATGGGTCCCAGGGTCCTCGGGCCCCCCCCCCAGATGGGATGGGGGAGGAGGAGGAGGAGGAGGAGGAGGAGGAGGAGGACCACGAGGAGGAGGAGGCAGGAGCGACCGACGGGACGACGACGGCCGATGACGACGACGACGACGACGACGACGACGACGAGACGACGACGGACGGACGACGACGACGACGACAACGACGACGACGACGACGACAACAACGAAGACGACGACGACGCTGACGACGACGACGACGACGACGACGACGACGACGACGACGACGACGACGACACCGACAACAATGACGACGACGACTACGACGACGTCGACGACAACGACGACGACGTCGACGGCCGGCACCACCAGCGGCGGCGGCGGCGACGACGTCGAGCACCGGAGCTGTCAACATGACGCCAATCCCAGCCACACGCCGCACCCACACCGCACCCACAGGGGGGGAGGGAGGGGGGGAGGAGGACCATGGCGTCACCCCGCACACACCCACAGCAACACACCACGCCACACCACCACATCCACAGGGGGGGGAGCCACCACGCCACGCCCACGCCCACGGGGGGGGGGGGGGAGGGGCATCGCGCGGGAGGGGGGGGGGAGGGGGGGGGGGGGGAGGGCGATGGCATTAGCATTGGGGGGGGGGAGCCGATGACACCCCTCGCCGTCCCGGTCGAAAGAACAAAACAAGGTGTTCGCGGGGCCCATGATGACACAAGATTTTTCCACAAAGTGCGCTTCGTTTTTTTGTTTTTTGGCGGATGTGAGGGGGGCGTTATCATTGGTCTTGGCTGGCAGCAGGTCGCCGGGGGGAACGGGTGCTTCTTGATTGGGAAAAGTGCTAAACCCCTCCCCGAAGGGGAAGACGGGGGTTGGAAAAAGGAACTCTTTTAACCACTGAAGCCCTAAAGGGCTGGTGGGATTTGTCCACACATGTTCAAGTCTCGCCGTTCCTGCTGCCACTTTTCTTACCCCTCTTGTGATCCTCTCATGCCATCCCATTTCTTTCTCCCTTGCTCGCTCTCTCTCTCTCTCTCTCTTTCATCTTTCTCTCTCTCTCTCTCTCTCTTTCTCTCCCTCCCTCTTTCATCACCCATCTGTCTTGTCCTGCATGCCATTCCCTGTTATATCGTATATCGTTCGTCCCCTCCCATGGCTCTATCTTTCAGACCTTCGCGTCTGTCCCATTTTTTATTCATCATATCCCTCCTGTCTTTCTGGGTTCTCCCAAGGCAGTTCTGCTGCGCTGTCCCGAGCCATTCCTCTCACCCTTCCACCGCCCTGCCCTCCACCTCTCCCGTTCTTCGGTTGCCGCGTCTCCCATTGATCACTTCTTTACCTCCACGTTCCTGCTCTGCGCCTTGGCTCTCTACCCATTTACCCGCATGTCTCCTGCGCACCAGTCCTGGCATACTCGCTTGTGAGGTCTCTGCCGCACCTCGGGGGTGGCGACTTTATCCCCACAGCGAGCAGCCTGTCCAGCACCCACAGCCACAACGTGTACGCGTCCCCGGTGCCGGCTGGGGCCGAGCTGGGCGAGGGGAGGACGGAAGAGAGCGGGGCCCGTGCGATGTCTGGATCGCATCGGCACAGACCGCTCCCCAAAGGGAGGCAAACAAGATGAGGATGAGGCTCAGGAGGAATGGGAGGAGGATCACGAGGAGGAGGAGGAGGATGATGAGGAGGAGGAGGAGGAGGAGGACGAGGAGGAGGAGGAGAGGAGAAGGAGAAGGAGAAGGAGGAGGAGGAGGAGGAGGAGGAGGAGGAGGAGGAGGAGGAGGAGGAGGAGGAGGGAGGAGGAGGAGGAGGAGGAGGAGGAGGAGGAGGAGGAGGAGGAGGAGGAGGAGGAGGAGGAGGAGGAGGAGGAGGAGGAGGAGGAGGAGAGGAGGAGGAGGAGGAGGAGGAGGAGGATAGGAGGAGGAGAGGAGGAGGAGGAGGAGGAGGAGGAGGAGGAGGAGGAGGAGGAGGAGGAGGAGGAGGAGGAGGAGGAGGAGGAGGAGGAGGAGGAGGAGGAGGGGAGGAGAGGAGGAGGAGGAGGAGGAGGAGAGGAGGAGGAGGAGGAGGACACGCCAGCGCCGCCACCCGCAGCGCTCAAGGAGGGTGAGCATGCCGACGACTATATACAATACACGATGCTGAGGAAGTCCGACCAGCCAAGCACCAGGAGCTCCTTCAGCCTGGTCGAAGAGGGAGGCCTACGGAAGCCAGCACAGTCTCGGCTGCGGCGAGCTCCTCTCCTCCAGGGCGGCGGCGAGCTCCCGCGCCGCGACAGCGGTCCTGCCCGGCACCTCGCCCTTGCGCCTGTGGATCCTCACCGCGGTCGCCGATGCGACGGCCACGGGGTTCAAGGGCGGCTTGGGCGCTGCGCGGGGCAGCGGGGCGGCTCTCGGGGGCCGCCGAGGCCTCGGCGTCGCGTCGCCGCCGTCGTCTCCTCCGTCGTCTCCTCGAGCCCTCGGAGGCCGCGCCGCCGCCATCCCCGGCCGAGCGTGGAGCCGAGGACGCCCTGGATGGCGCGGCCCTCCGCGCGGCGGGTACTGCGCCCTGCGCTCGGCCGCCGTGCGATTGGGCCGCGCGCGCCGCGGCGCCGCGGGGGGCCCGATCCTGGGCAGCGCGGCCCGCGGAGGCAGGGGGCGCGGCGGACGCGGAGCGAGGGACCCCGTGGCGCGGGCTCCGCGGGGCGAGCAAAGGGCTCGGGCCGAGCTGGCGCTTGGAGGAGGAGGAGGAGGAGGAGGAGGAGGAGGAGGAGGAGGAGGAGGAGGAGGAGGCGGAGGAGGAGGAGGAGGAGGAGGAGGAGGAGGAGGGAGGAGGGAGGAGGGAGGAGGGAGGGAGGGAGGAGGGAGGAGGGAGGAGGGAGGGAGGGAGAAGGGAGGAGGGAGGAGCAGCAGGAGGATGAGGAGGAGAAGGCGGAGGGTGAACTTGACGTGATATGGCTTCTGGGCGCCTGAACCACACTGGTGGGACCGGCGGCCTGGTGCACCACCTTGGTGCGCCATCCGAGGAAATGACAGATCCGACTGGAGGAGCAGCAGGAGGAGGAGGAGGAGGAGGAGGAGGAGGAGGAGGAGGACAGGGTAAACTAAAGTTTCATAAACGCTGTTGGAGTACACCCTCCCTCCAAGCTCCCTCGTCATATGCCCCTGCAAGTGTTCATTTCAGCTGATGGAATTGTCCCGTTGAGGGACAACCGTGTGAAAGTCCTCAAGCGTGCCAACACACCATTGAGTACCCCTGGCTGTTGCGTCTTGGCGGTCCTGAACCGTGCCGCAGCACCCTTCCTGGGACTTCAACATTTCGAACCAACGTAACTGTTGTGCCCTGACAATCGAGTACCATTTCTGATACGTCAGCCATGTGAACCAGTGAAACCCTTGTTACTTTTTGGAACGAATCTGCGAGGCGCTTAGGCGACAGCCACATATTAAGAATGAATGTGCGCGGCGCTTAGGCGAGAGCCACATTTTGAAGACGGTCCGAGGAGGAGGACGAGGAGGAGGAGGAGGCGGAGGAGGAGGAGGAGGAGGAGGAGGAGGAGGAGGAGGAGGAGGAGGATGAGAGGGGGGAGGGAGGGAGGGGGGGATGGATGGATGGATGGATGGAACGCTGGGGGGGCGAGGGGGGAGGGAGGGAGGGAGGGAGGGAGGGGGGGAGGAAGCTGGTGGACATGGGTAATTGCTCGATTCTCACAAACATATGCGATGCCTGTAATGGTTCTCTGCTGCTCGCTGCCTGCCGCCGCCGCCGCTGATCCTGCCGCTGCGCGCGGAGCGGGTGGTGGCCATCGACACCCAGCAGGGCCCACCTCGATCCGATCGAGATGGATATTTCCTTGTGGTGAGTGGCGAATGATACGACAACCGTTCGGGAATCCTCAACCGTTCCTGGGACTTCGACGCCGCGGGTCAGTGTGACCTGTCGCGTGCTGACAATCCCAGACCCTGTCGGAACCCCGCTCCTGGGACTTCCATACCACCGAGCAGCGCGTTTGTTGCATCTTGCCAATCCTCAGTCGTGCCAGACCACCATTCCTGGGACTTCGGCCATACGAATATTTAGAACTGTTGCGTACTTTTACATCGAATGTGCGCGGCACTAGGGCGAGGGGCATACGTTTCAACAAATTTCGCTCTCTGTCTTCGAAGCAGTCGGAACTCCTTGAACGAGTGTGCGCGGCGCTAAGGCGAGCGCCACATTTTGAAAAGGCACGTCCTCCATCCGTGAAGCTGTTGCAAGCCTTAAACAGACGAATGTGCGCGGGGCTAAGGTGAGAGCCACATCTTGAGATCGACCTGCCCTCCATCAGAGAAGCTGTGGCACATTGCAAGCTTCAGGATTATCAATGGCGATGACGTCTCCGGCGAACTGCCTTGTCACACGTCTGGGGTTGCGACAGGGGCGTCGTGTGGCCTTGTGGTCTTGTGGTCTTCTTGATGCCGCCTCTGGGACCTCCTGGGGGCTTCCTGGGGGCCTCTCAGGGGCATCAGGGGGCTTGTCGGGGGCTTCCGAGGGCTTCTCGGAGGCCTCTGGGGGCTCTCTTGGTCCATCAGTTGGCCTGGCTGACGCCTTCGAATACCGTTTTGGGAACCTCTCTGGGCCGTCTTGGGGCGTTGTAGGGCCATCTTGGAGGTCTCTTGGGCCGTGTTGGAGCCTTCTTGGGGCCATCGCGGGGACCTCTTGTGCCGTCTTGCAGCCCTCTTAGGCCGTCTTGGGGCCCGCTGGGGGGCCTCTGGGGCCGTCTTGGGATAGTCTGGGCGGCCTTGTGGGCCGTCTTGGGCTGTCGGATGCCCGAAACTGCGAGAGCGCCCCAATCGTTCAAGACACATGATGCTTGCCAGCGTGGACCCCGAACGGAACGTTCCTGCCAAGTTCGCGCGCAGAGCGACCAATTGTTCTAGCACGACCGATGCGGCCGCGGTGGTGCTTACCGATGGTACCGGGCGGCCACTCGCGGGCATCAAGCGACCCCCCCCCCACCACACCCGCCCAGCGCACGGGGCGGTCACGAGGTGCCAACAGGGGCAGCACCCGAAACCTCGGCACACCTGTCCAGCGCATGGTCGGCGGCGAGCGAGTGGGGGGGGAGTGAGAAAGGGAAGGCCTTCTCAGAAGACGGCGGGCCTTCCCAGAAGCCTTCGCGCCTTCCGAGAGGTTTTTCTGTCTTCGGGGAAGGCTTAGGTAACTTCTCATAGTACAGTGCCGTTTTTAACACATGCTCCGCGTGCGGATCATGTATTAGACATCAGGGAATTAGCATTAAACACAAAGATGAGTTCATGCATACATTTATTCATACATTGATTATGTATTGAACATCCGATATGTTTAAAAGATCCTATGCATTAAAAGCTGCCCTGTAAGGCCTGGGGACTTCCGAAGCTTCTGAGAAGGGCTTCTGATTCTCACTTCCCCCCCCGCTCGTCGCCGACCTGGGGCGGCCGCGATGCGTCCGTCCACGGGCAGCCGCCAGCCCAGTACCCAGGCGAAACCTCGGCACGATCCGGTTCATCGGGGCAAGGCGAGCAAGAAGTCCTTGGTGCAAGCATGCTTCTTGGGGCCGATCGAGCATCCCTATCCCCATCCCCATTCCGATCCCTGTGTGTGTGTGTGTGTTGTCCCTTCGTCGTAGTAGGGCCTGGGGACTTCCGAAGCTTCTGAGGAGGCCTCCTGCTTCCCGCTTCCCCCCTCGCTCGTCGCCGGCACGGGGCGGCCGCGATGCCGTCCACGGGCAGCCGCCGGCCCAGCACCGGGCGAAGCCTCGGCACGATCCAGCTTCTCGGGGCAGGGCAAGCAAGACGTCTGCGGTGCAGCAACAGCCCAGAAGTAAAAAAGCACTGGCGAGGGGAAGGGCCACCGGCTTAAGAGCCCAGCCGGCCTGACATATGAAAAACACCGGTCTTCAGAGACGCCCGGTGTTTTTCATATGTCACTGGGCCGACTCTGCGCGTCTTGTCACGGAGTGCACGGGTCACTCGGGCGATATCGTGGTCGCCTCTCTGTCCGAAAAAAAAGAAAGAAGTCCTCGGTGCAAGCACGCGTCTTGGGGCCGATCGAACATCCCTATCCCCATCCCCATTCCGATCCCTGTGCCCATCTGTCCCTGGCCTCCAGGCCCTACCCCCAGTCACTGTTCCATGTGAGTCTACACCCCCTCCCCCACCCGACTAGCGACAAACACAGGACAATGAGGACTCCCCCGCCATCCCTGCCAAAAAACAAAGAGAAGCGCAATTTCCGGCACCCAACCATGGAGGACATCTTGAAGTCGTCCTGGGCCGTCTTAGGAGCCCCCTGGGGCCGTCTCGAGGCCATCTTGTGCCGTGCTGTGGCTATCTCGGGCCGTCTTGAAGCCATCGTGAGTCGTCTTGCTGCCATCTCGGGCCTTTTTGAGGCCGTCTGGGGCCTCTCTGGAGGCCCCCAGAGCTCGGGGGGGAGCTGCTGGGAGCTCAGAGGAAGGGGATATGCGAGACCCCCTTTCAATTCTCACGCCTGCCTACCTACAGTCGGGGCCCTGAAGAA